AACGATGGCTGTGCGCGTGTGTAAGCTTTCCGCTAGATGGGAGTGAAACGATTGTTGCGTTCCTTGACCTAAAATAGGCCTTCCACGTGGTTGACCACGAATTCTTTAAGAATTCGCTTCTTTGTGAAGGAATGTTGCAAAAGTAAGTGAACATAGTGAGGTCACTCCAATCGTATACTTTGGGTATCATAAGGGTCTCCGGTGGGGTAAGTAAATCGTTCGAAACCAGGAGCGGTTTTCGTCAAGAGTGTTCTACTTCGCCATTCCTGTTCAGTTTCGTCGTAGACGAAATAAGAGAGAACGAACTCAGTGGTCTCCAAAATGTTGTTCTTGAATGAGCAGTTGGATAAAAGCTGTGCGATTTAGAGTGCGCTGACGACTTCGTTTGTCTGTTCGAACGTATGGATAATGCGCAAAGTGGTCTTGACAGACTTTCAAGTCATGTAACTCCGTTTGGTATGCCTTTTGCACCTTCAAGGTGCAAAGGGATGCTGCAAGACTGGGTGGCGCCGAGTCTCGTTCAGAAACTAGACGGTCAGGAATTAAATGAAGTTGACTGCATCTCGTACCTGGGTAGCGGCGTGACCAACGACGGTAGCACATCTAAGGAGATAACCTCCCGCATTTCCAAGGCTCCGGGAGCGTACACAGGACTAAAACACCTGTGGCAACGACGTGACGTTTCACTGAAATTGAAAAGTCGGATATACTGCGCCACTGTACGATCAGTTCTACTTTACGGTGGAGCAAACTTGAATTTGTAGATAGAAGACATCCTCCATCTGGAAGTTTTCGACAATTGACAATCTAGTCTGGCAGAGGTGAGATGGAGTGAGCGGGATAGTAACCTAGAAGTAAATCGTCAGGTCTTTGGGAATGCATAGAACACGAACTCGCTATCGCATCGAATTCAGCTAAATTGGCTTCGTTGGTTAAAACACGTTTTGCGTACGTCTAACAGTCGCCTACCGCATCGCGCAGAGCGATTAGGTAGAACAGGTGTCTCGTCTTCCCGGTTGGGGATCAAAAGAGTCCGTAACTGGATGGTTGGAGACACCGAAGGCTATGGCAGCAAACCGACAGCAGTAGCAATCTCGCTGTCACTTCTTATCAGGTAAGAATACAGGAAGCAATCAAACACTGTACAACTTGGAAGCAAGATGAAGCTGAATGTGAATGAAAAACCATCCTGTGGAAAACGGCTGCAATCTACAAAGCATCCATTAGTTGACAAAACGAGACGGGACAGAGTAGCTGCTCGACTGAAAAATCCATGATAATTTTGTGAACTAGGGCGTAGAACAGTTGGTAGATGATTAAGCGGAAACTATTCAATACATTCAACGGGGCAACATTATGCACAAATAAATCTCATCAGGTGAGTGATGACACAAAAATGAACGTCAGAGTTGCTTCCAGCGGAAACCAATACATTTCCAAAACATAAGTGAACAAATAAAGTCGTAACGATCAAAAGGTAAAACATTGAAAACAAATAAATAACAAAATCCTACCTGAATATGTTCTCGTTCTGCCTTTTGTGCTTCGTATTCACGTTGCTGAGCGAGTAAACGATCACCGCGAGCTTGTTCAAACGCATCGTAGTTGCCACGGTACATATCCAACCGTCGAGCAGTTAGATGTATGATATCAGTGGCCACCGAATTGAGAAACGAACGGTCGTGGGATACAATTATCAGAATATTTGAAGAAGTCTGAGAGATAGAAATAGTACATCTGTATTAGCGAACATTTCTCATTTATTATTTAACAAGTTTTACCAAACTTGTTACTTAATAATTAGTAATTCTTAATAAAAAATTTTGAAACTGATAGGTTCATCTTTACTATCCCCGACCGGTCTCACAACGGATCTTTGAGGTTATGGGCTAAAACAAATCTGCAATCATGAAAGCTGTGGGTTAGAAGGTGCTTCCAGGTCACCTACAGAAGAGCGGTGACTTGGATAGCGGGTACTACTGAAGTGAATAGTCGGTCACAGGGCGACATTAGAGGGCGTGCATTTTCACCTGATATATGCTCTCTGCAACAAAAGAAGACAGAGAGCACCGCGATGTGCGCGAAGCTGAACATTTACATTTATACGACTACATTCTGCAAGAGGATGAATCGGCCTTGTGGACATAATATCCATGAAGTCTTGGGAATTTGATATAACGTGTCCAGTGCTACATGAGGCAGCATACCTCCTGGCCGTCTCCTTCACAAGTATAGATGTCACGTCGGCTGGGAATGAAACGTTTACAAACAAACTACCAGGCTCGGCGAACAGGTGACAATGGACTTTGCAATATATAGTATCAATATTATACATGAAGCCGATTTATCCTGAAAGAGCTAAACTGCTCAATGGTGTGCAAAGAATATACACCGAACAGACGATGGGACCATAATGAAGCCACATTTGGTAAGAGGATTAAATCGGACCCGAACGAGTAAATACGACCTCATTCGCTGTGTTTATAAATCTTACTGGAATCAGGACACAAGGGAAAAGAGCTTGCTTGCAAGCTTCTGTGTTTTCAGTGTGTTATAGGCGACATTTGATATACCCCAAAGATCACATGGTATTCATTTTTGAAAAAAACTTACCTGAAGATAACCTTCCAGCCAAATCAGAGCTCGCATATCTAACATGTTAGTAGGTTCATCCAAGAGTAGAAGATCGGGTTTGGAAAATAAGGCTTGAGCCAAAGATAAACGCATCCTCCAACCGCCAGAAAACTGTTTTGTTGGCCGTTGCTAGTAAAGGAAAGGGTAAGGAAAAAATTACTCCGGCCGCAAACGGATGCACACCAATATGTGCCCTAACGACAGTAAGAAGGAAAATCAAAACAAGCAGTTGAAAAGAAACGAATTTCACGATCACTAAACGGACATATTCCACCATCGTGATTCCAGACGGAACGAAAACAGGAAACCCATCGGTCAAATTACAAAACGATAATATCTGAATGAAATATATTACAAGATTTGTCTTAGTAGAAGGCAGATATGATCACGTTGTATTACGCTTATATTCGTTAGCAGTTCGTTGCATGATAAGTCGAGTGATGACTTGCGCTATTTCACTGCACCTTTGTAAGCACTGTTGTAGTGACCATTGATGACAACGTGGAAAATCATTCAATGACATGGATGCAAGCAGTGAAAAATACTATGAAACAGACGTAACAGGTGAAACTAAAACGTCATTCCCTTATCGCAGTAGGGTGTCTATACAATCTTCGTTCTCGTGATTCAGTCGTCATATGTGTATGGTGAAACACAATGACGCGAACTTCTCCGATCGATTCCGACCTCATGGTGTCTATAGATTAAGTATAAATGCGTAAACTAGGTGACAGCGGGCCCATTTTGAGGAAATGAAAGTGGAACACTATGGTGAAAACTCGCAGTGGATCGTCTAACAATT